AAGCGCTCCGATATGACCAAGTGTTTTAAGTCCCCTCTGCTATGGAAATCCTGTTATTTCGCTCATTATCACTCGCGCAGCACGCAAAACACAATGTGTAGTATCAACGTAAGGCTCATTCCGAATCCGGTACAAGTTAACACAACACAGCAACAACAAGTGCTACTCACAGTAATAATGAATGAAAGTGCAGATTGGACGCTCGCAGATGATGTGCACGATATCACAGACCAAGAGGACACGTATGGATACGAGGTAAGTCCGAACACTACGGAGCACTTACCTCAATGACCAACGTCTTCAGAATGTGACGATCGTAAATCTCAAGTAATCAGGGATTTCTCTGTCCGCTACGTTATTGCTAGCTCATGACACAGCCTTCTGGTTTTCTCGTCTTACCACAGGTTTTCAATAAAGTGCATAAAGTGCTTGAACTCCGACTGTATTTTTTCATCTTAACTTTTTTTCTATCCGGAAATTGATGATGAACAGTCTTTGCGAATCGTAATGATTCCGTTTGTTCCTTAATAGACTCTTTTGTAATTTTCTTCTCAGGTCCTTTATGTCAAACTTGAAACAAGAAATGGACCGAGTTTTGGGTATGTTTGGTTTGTAGCAAATATTTATTTTCATTTTTTTAAACGAATTGTTTCTAAGTGTAGTTATTCCATCAAGCCTCACATATGTGGCTCCATTCTTCATTCCTTGTCGGGTGCCATGGTGGTGGTAGCTGTTACCGATCAGCTTAGGTCATTTCAAGCAGTATACCCGGATTTCGGGGCCCTGGGTTCGAACACCACTACCCGACTTTGGTTTCAGATTGCTTCACTGTCGTTTGGTTCAACGCAATGCCTATTCTATCCGGGGTCCTATATCGTTGTTCATTTGAAACAACAGGATTCAGATATCCGGTTCCCTCTGACAAATCAGTATATGTTCGTCACCAAGAGATGACTCAGGCTTAGTGTGATCATTCACCCTCGAACGGTGCCTAAATTCCCCAAGTGACTGGAACGGTGTCGCCCAGTCAATTCAAATATCCCATAATCCTGGTACTATTTTTTTCATGCCTCATTATCACCGGTTCGGAAGGAGGGTTTAACAGCTGTCTTGGACCAGACACCCGCTAATGGATAATTGTCGATCCGCTAATATCCCTCCAACCTTTGCTTTTCGTCTACTCCCGCGATAAAACCTTACCCGTCGCAAGAAGGCAACACGCAGGACTTCCCTAACAGTGGTTACGATTGCAGGCTATTAGGGGGACATTTTCATACAATTCCGGATTCATTTACCACAGGTAGATTCATTGTGAGCAATACTCCTTTTGGTTATGAGCTAATGATTTAGGAAACCCCAAAAATAAGGTTTGAGCAAATGGAGGTTCAGTTGGGTTCTCCGTCTGTAATTAACGAAACTCGCTTAGTTTATGGTCAGCGGTGTTCAACACTTTCCAGTCAACCAAACGGATTTGTTCATAGTTGGTAGTTAAAATGATGTTTTTAAATGATTGTATATAACAAAACAAACGTAAGCATACCATTTAGTGCAAAAAAAATCGTCGACTCTTGTACTGGTTTCTTATAAAAAATCCTGGGTTTGACGTTCGGTTAGTAGACAATATTATCAATTTCGAGAATAGGATGGGAATAAATTCCCAAGAAAAATCCTTCTGGGAGTGAGCACAGTAATAGGATGCCGACTGGTGGCCCGCCACCGTTCTGACTTGTTTTACTATTCTGCCAGTCAGGAGTAAGGTAACGGTTGTTCGTCTGGTCTTTCTATTCTTAGTTTCATCTCCAGCTTTTGTTCATTCTTGTGAAGCCAGAGAGGTCGAAGAGTAGTTATTCCAGACGGTTTGTTGTGTGATTATTCGCTTCTGTTGTGTCGGCTCCGTGCAACACGACCAGATCAGTGGTATCCATTGAATCACGGGGTCCATATTGCTACATGGTAGTTAGTGAAAAGTACGAATCAGGAGTGAACCCGCCGCAGCTGGTTGTCTGCAACTTTGATAAGCATACGCTCATCTTATTCAATCTCAACTACTATGTGATTGAACGAACCCCCTATCTGTGACCTGAGAACGCGCCCGGTAACATGCAGCTGTGCTCATGTATTTCAAGATCGATTTTGAATGGTTGCTTAGGACACTGCTAACTCGGATATTTCGAAGCATTCTGTTGTGTTTTGCATTCTATGAGAACAATTGCGCACTACGTTTTGCAAGCTCAATGATGACTGGTGTATAGGGACAATTCTTTTGTAGCCGGTAATTATGAATATTCGACTGGTTTCATAAGCCGCATTAGGGTAATTGCCAGGTAACATTTTCGCTCCACAGTCTGCCAAACATGAGTTGTATTGCTTCAATAATCTATAAGGATTTTGTCTTTTAAGTAGGCTGATCAATAAGCACTATATCGGTTGGGTTCACGTCAACGAGAACAAAGTGCGATCCATTTGGGTTCATCGCTGAGCAGAATGAGACCACCGTATGAGAGATGGTGCTGCTTTTGTGTGAAAACTGCTGGCACATTTGAAACAGGTTAATGATCTGTTTGTTCACGGTTGAGCACATGATTTTCGTTTTCTGTTTCGTAGATTAGGATTTCACCGAAACGGTTTCTGATTGATTTGAGGACTCTGCTTTAGTGTTTTACTCATCGAAAACACGATGTCTACTCAATGTAGCATTTCAGGCTGTTCTTCATTGATCCCAGGTGAACTGCAGTCGCTTAAAGGAGCTCAATGTATACACGGTGACGTCTCATTTGGTTTGCTGTTGTCCCGCATTGAATAATAGATCAGCCCTAACTTAAGCGCTCCTTCGAATCGGGATCCAGCGTAGAAGGGGGCCTCCAAGTGTAGACGCTTAGTGCTATCCCATCGACGGGTAGACTATCAATGTTAGACTTCCTACTCTTGAAGGGTGAAGTATGAAGATAAGGCTTGGTCTGGACAATTTAGTGTGCAAAATGAAAATAGGTTTTATGTTTCGGTGACATCGCCTATATCTGCATCGAGGGGTTTCGATGTTTTTCTAGCTGGAAAGCCTGTTGTCCTATCCGGTGAAATACACTGTGCGTCACTTTTTCAATCTTTCCAAGTCATTCCCCCCACCCCACGGTTGTGTAATGGAGTGTGAAAATCACACCTGTCTAAACTTGCCCTCTTTTCCGTGTGCATTATACCAGTGCCGGTGGTGCTCCCAGTATTCTGTCGCGCCCAAATGGTCCTCTGTCCAACTGTCTGCTGTCGACCACTTCCTCACTCCTCTCTCCCTATGCATCAGCGACCAGGCAATTGCCTGGTGTGTGTGGCCTAAGCAATCTCGGCAATACTTGTTTCATGAACAGCGCCATCCAGTGTATGTCTAATGTGCCAGAACTGACTGCCTATTTTCGTGATCCGCGTTGGAAATNNNNGGAAATCGGATATTAATCGATCAAATCCTCTTGGAACTCGTGGTCGAATTGCCACCGCTTACGCCGAATTAATTGATCATATGTGGTCCGGTCAATACACCCACGAGGTTCCCCGAGCACTGAAGGTAAACTATTCTATCCGATGCTGTTCATCATGCTTATCTTGTCACCACTCCCAGTTCCCGAACTGTGAGTAATAATTTCCGCCTACTTCGTGATCATCGTTGGTTTCTTTCCTCCAATCCCTTTTTGCATGCCATTGATAAACCGTGTGCAAAATTTTTTATTGTCTATTGTTGATCCACTGTAATAGTCCATTATCGACAGTAGTCGACAGTCAGTGTGTGTGTGTGTGTGTGTGTAAAATGAGCGTGAAATCCCTTGCGGGAAGCCGAATGACGGATGCAGAGAGAGAGAGAGAGAGTCCATCGTAGGTAAGGATAAACAAATTAAACGGGTCAACCCGGTCTAATTATCTCACCAGATAAATTAGCGGTAATTTCGCTCTGTCACATGCCTTTGGAATTTCGGCGACACGCGTCGCGTGCGCTCACATTGGCATGTTTGTGATAGTTGACAAGACAAATAACACTACCAGGGAGAGAATTTGAGTAAAACAAAAGTAACTATTCACAGGTCAGGTCAAGTGATGGCTGGATTATCACAATCTTAACGAAGAAATTCATCATATCGTTGGATATCTCACTTGCAGTCTGCATCCAGACTGAACTAAATTCACCATAGAACATGTACGCATTTAGAAAGGTCTATCTGCTTTGGCCCGTTCAACTAGGTAGCATCACGTCCACGAGAAAAACCATGTTTTCGTCACTAAGGTGCTCCTGCCATAATATTTTAGATGGTCTGAATCCAGTGAAGTGTGAAATAATTATAAAGAATTGAGCACTTTGGTTGTTTCCGTCACACTTTGTGGTTTAATTGATTAGCTAGCCTGTATTGGCTGGAACACGAGGAAACTTCAGAGTTTGGTTCAGGTCACAAACGATCGAATTCGATGATTTTGATGCGTCTCAGAGGAAAATAATAGCGTTAACTATTCAGAACAGGTCGTTTCCTTCGGGCGAACTTCAGTTAATCAAATCCTGACCTCACAGACAACCGAGAGTTTGCAAAGACCACACTTTAGTCGGGTTCGGTGTTCTGTCAAACCGATCATACGCGGTTGACCCATTTTCCACACAGCCAAGCTACTACCTAATACTAGTCACCCAAACCAACGACTTTCTTACCTAGGCCTTATTAAAGCACTTCATACCTCTTATTGGAGGATGAGTGTGGTTGAGCCTCCTACCCCACGGCCGATCCATTCTATTACAGTCCCAGGTGATGGGTTTTCGTATTGTCACCTTAGTGAAAACATTCTGGTCACAAGAAGAAACCTTCTTTCCAAGTGGATACTAAAATAGATGCACACCATGAGAGCATTTCCTGGGTCAAGGTAACTAACCTATGTAGGTCATGGATTGAATGGCTCTGTTCTCTCTGGTTTCGTAACTCACTCTGCCACTATCACTGCACAGTAATCAATTCTCTTGTATATCTTTGTTTCAGCGCGAGATCGCCGTGATTGCAAATCAGTTCTCGGGTTATGCCCAACATGACTCCCATGAACTATTGGTCTTTCTTCTCGACGGGTTACACGAAGATTTAAATCGAGTGAAAGACAAACCGTACATTGAGTTCAAGGATGCTGGAAATCGACCAGACGAAGTATGCTTTTCTTCCTTCATGAAATTCCCCACCGTGAAGTTCCAACTCAATTGTTAAACTGGAAAATAATTCTACCTCGTACACCTCCAACGGTTTCTCGTGTGAAAATTTTTTTAAATGCGTAGAATTGCCACTCTGTGTATCGAGTGAGTGAGTACTCATGTGCCCATTTGGTAAACATCAACTCAGCCTTTTAGAGTAGCAAGCTTGGATTAGCCCATTCGACTGTTCAGAGGCATCAGGCGCTCTTGGTGTTCTTTTTGGTGTAGGTTTCACTTCTTAGGAGGTCGTTAATTCCCCACCACCAACCCAGCCCTCTGTATGTATGCCAAAACAACATCCGAGATTCATCTGTCGTGTGAAGTGTCCGAATATTATAAATGTATCTATTTTCCCTCTTGGTTCCACTGTAACAACATTTTACTCTTCGAACATGCATCACGCCTGCCGAACGTAGTCATATTAAAACTGAAGACTTCTAGGAAAGGTAGCAACTGATCTGGATCTTCACTCAGCAGTGCAATGTCGTCTGCAGGCTTCAGTGCAGATAACTAGTCATTTGGACCCACATCAATGCCACTGTTTTTACTCACGAACAGGGTCGTTTCCCGGTAGGAGTAGCACATCTGACT